ACATTTGCACAATCGAAACATTTCAAAAAAAGAGTGAAATGAAACAATTCAATTCTAGTTAGCAGCTGTTTTTTTTTTAAAGATTTATTTATTTATTTTAGAGAGAAAGAGAGAGAGTGCGCGCATGTGCATGCGAGCAGGGGGAGGAGCAGAGGGAGAGAGAGAAAGAATCTCAAGCAGACTCCTGTTGAGTGCAAAGCCTGATGCAGGGCTCGATCTCATGACCCCAAGATCATGACCTGAGCCAAAATCAAGAGTTGGGACAGTCAACAGAGCCACGCAGGCACTCCTAGTTAGGAAGGGTTTTGGATACTATAGATACTGTCATCATGTGGCCTAAAGATAAAGATGTACTTAAAAGTGATTTCTGGGGGCCTGGGTGGCTCAGTCATTAAGCGTCTGCCTTCGGCTCAGGTCATGATCCCGGGGTCCTGGGATCGAGCCCCGCATCGGGCTCCCTGCTCGGCCGGGAGCCTGCTTCCCTCTCTCCCTCTGCCCACCCCCGCTTGTGATCTCTCTCTCTCTCTCTCTGTCAAATAGATAAATAAAATCTTAAAAAAAAAAGTGATTTACAAACTGTAGGGTGCTATGTGGAAATGTATGTGTTACTGTTACTGTTGTAGTAGTTACAGTGATTTTAACCAGGCAGAGAATCTCTAGCAGGAGATCAATACTTGAACTTTATGATTCATTTACAATTCAGAATCAGATTAGGAAAATAATTCCTTTTTTAAGAAGGGAAATGCCATTGCTAAATTCATTATGCTTCTCAGACCTACTGAGTGAAAACATACTCATACTATACTCATTCTTATATTCAAATAAGAATAGAGAAGCTAGTAAACTTTGGGTCAAATATGTAATGCCTAGTTTTTGAAAAGCAGTATAGCAAAAAGTGCTGATATGAAATGACAAGATGAAATATGTCTCATAAATAGTAAATGAATAAAAAAAGAAATATGGCATTTAGTGGACAAATTTCAGAGACATTTTCTGAAAGTGATGAAAAAAGGAATAGAGATGAAAATGAAAAGAGACTAGATTGTTGCACAGGGTTTGGGCTGAATATTCAATCTAAGCATTACAAGTATAAGCAAGGAGGGAGAACAAGGAACAAGAAAGAAAAATATGAAAGAAATGCAATAATCAATTGAAAAAATATGTTTTCTGATTTTAAAAATGTCTAAGACCTCACACCATACACAAAAATTAACTAAAAATGGTTCACAGATCTAAATATGAATGAGCAGCATAAAAGAACAAAACCGGAATAAATCTTGATGACTTCAGGTTAGGCAATGATTTCTTAGACACAGCACTAAAAGTACAAACAATGAAAGAGAGTAATAACAAGTGGGACTTTACTAAAATAAAAGCTTCTCTGCTTCAAAGGACACCATTAAGAAAGTGGAGAGACAGCCCAACGAATGGAAAAATATACATTTGTAAATCATTACATCTCACAAAGGACTTATATCCAAAACAACTATAACTTAAGAAGATAAATAACCCAATCTGATGAATGCTCAAAGGATAAGAATAGACATTTGGCTGGGATGCCTGGGTGGCTCTGTCGGTTAAGTATCCGACTCTTGATTTTGGCTCAGGTCATGATCTCAGGGTCGTGAGATGAGCCCTGCGCTGGGCTCCATGCTGGGTGTAGAGCCTGCTTGAGATTCTCTCTCTCCCTCTGGCCCTCCTTCCCCTCAACTTGAGCTCGCTCTATCCTCCCCGAAAAAGAAAAAAGACATTTGGCTAATACACACATGAAAAGATGCTCAACATCTTTAGTCACTAGGGAAATACAACAAAACCACAATGAGATACCACCTCACACCCACTAGAATGGCTCTCATCAAAAGGACAGAAAATAGGGGTGCCTGACTGGCTCAGTCAGTGGAGCATACAACTTTCAATCTCAGGGTTGTGAGTTCAAGCCCCATGATGGGTGTAGAGATCGCTTAAAAATAAAATCTTGGGGCACCTGGGTGGCTTAGTCAGTTGAGCATCCAACTCTTGATCTCAGCTCAGGTCTTGATCTCAGGGTCATGAGTTCAAGCTCCGTAATGGGCTCTATGTCAGGCATGGAGCCTACTTAAAATAAAAAAGTAAATAAAATAAAATCTTAAAGGGGCACATGGCTGGCTCAGTCAGAAGAGCATGTGACTTGGGCGCCTGGGTGGCTCAGTTGGTTAAGCAACTGCCTTCGGCTCAGGTCATGATCCCGGGGTCCTGGGATTGAGTCCCATATCGGGCTCCCCCTTCTCTTTGGGGAGCCTGCGCCTCTGCCTGCCACTCCCCCTGCTTGTGTTCACTCTCTCTCTCTGTGTCAAATAAATAAATAAAATCTTTAAAAAAAAAAAAAAAGAAGAGCATGTGACTCGATCTCGGGGTCGTGAGTTCGAGCCCCAGTTGGGTGTTGAGATTACTTAAATAAATTTTTTAAAAAACTTAAAAAACAATGAAATCTTAAAAAAAAGACAATAACAAGTGTGGTGAGATGTGGAGACACTGGAACCGCATACACTGCTGGGCGTGCAGCCTCTTTGAAAAAGTCTGGAAGTTCCTCAAAAGGTTAAACATAGAGTACCATATGACCCAGTAATTTCACTCCAAGGTATGCACTCAAAGGAACTAAAAACATATGTCCACACAAAACCCTGTACAAAAATGTTCATAGCAGTATTATTTGTAACAGCCAAAAAGTGCAAAATAACTCAAATGTCTATCAACTGATGATTAGATAGACAAAGTGTGGTAAATCTATACATGGAATATTAATCGGTAATAAAAGGAATGAAGTACTGATACATGTTACTAGATGAACCTGAAAAACATGTTAAATGAAAGAAGCCAGTCCAAAAGACCACACATTGTATGATTCTCTTTATATGAAATATCCTAAATAGGGAAATCCATAGATACAAAAAGTAGATTAGTGGTCCGGTCCCAAGGGCTGAGGACTGGGGAAGGGGGTAGTCACAGCTAAGGGGTATGAGGTTTCTTCTGGGGATGATTAAATGTTCTAAAATTAGATGGTGCTGATAGTACCCAACTCTGTAAGGATACTAAACCACTTAACTATAAACTTTGGGTGAATTTTATTATATGAAATACAGCTCTATAAATTAGAAGGGAGAGGAGGAGGGGGAAGGGAAAAAGGGGAGAAGAAGGAGGAGGAGGGGAAGTGGTCAGAGCTCCTATAACCTTGTTAATGTTTTAAGAGTTGAGAATAAAAGAGTTTGGGAGTCACAAAGGATTTTCATGCAAACTTTTAAACGCCTTCTCACTCTTTAAATCTACTACCACTTTAACGTTTTTATTTGCCTTAATTTCAACAAGTACACAGAGGTGTGTGGGAAATTTGCTTAACAGATATGCTAAATCTGAGGCTACAGATTTGTGTTTTTCTAATTTCGTCACAGACTATTTGATGGCAGGGATTGGTAGTTTTATCTTTAAATTATCTGTACCCAATACAGAATGTGGCACATACTGGGGCTCAAGTAAATGCTGAATAAATAAGGTTCACCTGGATAATACTGGAGACCAAAGAAGAAAAAAGTCTAAACAGGTAAATTTTAAAGATTTCCGGGGCACCTGGGCGGCTCAGTTGTTAAGCGTCTGCCTTTGGCTCAGGTCATGATCTCAGGGTCCTGGGATCCAGCCACATCAGGCTCCCTGCCCCGTGGGAAGCCTGCTTCTCCCTCTCCCACTCCCCCTGCTTGTGTTCCCTCTCTCACTGTCTCTCTCTGTCAAATAAATAAATAAAATCTTGTTAAAATTTTTTTAAAAATTTTAAAGATTTATGATATTCCAGGGGAAAAAAAGAAGACTTAAAACCTAGGCTTTAAAATTCATTTTTTGAATTTTAATAATGAAAATAATTCTTTAAAAAGATGAAATTAATCTGATTATTAGCAAAAGCAAAAGCAGATCTCAAAGATTCTTCTGTAGCACAAAATAGGCAGCAGCAGAGTGTAGGAGTTAACACTGTCTTTGGAATCCTTCATTTAACAAATGTTTAAGAAGGGGCGCCTGGATGGCTCAGTTGGCTAAGCGACTGCCTTCGGCTCAGGTCATGATCCCAGGGTCCTGGGATCGAGCCCCGCATTGGGCTCCCTGCTCAGCGGGAAGACTGCTTCTCCCTTTTCCCACTCCCCCTGCTTGTGTTCCCTCTCTCGCTGTCTCACTCTGTCAAATAAATAATTAAGTCTTAAAAACAACAACAACAAACAAACAAATGTTTATGAAGCATCTGCAATGGGCCAAACCCTGGCTTACATACTACAGAAACTGTGACAAACAGGGTTCTGCTCTTATGAACATTTAATTTTAGGTAGGAAGACATTATAAAGCAAATTAATAAGATCGCTCACGATAGTAATGAGTTTTATTAAAAATAATTAGGGCCACCTGGGTGGCTCAGTCGGTTAAGTATCTGCCTTAGGCTCAGGTCATGACCCCAGAGTCCTGGGAAAGAGCCCCTCATCAGGCTCCCTGCTCAGCGGGGAGTCTGCTTCTCCCTCGCCCTCTATACATAGCCCCTGCTCATGCTCTCTCTCTCTCAAAATAAATAAAATCTTAAAAAAATTAAATGAATACAGGGATAAAGTAATTGAAAGTATAGCTTTAGATAGTGGTCAGGAGGATTCATTTGATGATCCTGTAATTATCTTTATAATTCTAAATGTCTTCTTGAAAGATACATTAACTTCAATACCCCAATGTGTAAAATCAGATATAAATCAGGTATGATGTCGAACAATGTATATAAAACCATCTAACAAAATAGTTCTTCTCAACTTGAATAAAACAATAGGAATTATCCTTTCTCCTATTGTTTTTTCATCTGAGAATCAAGTGTGTCAAAGAAAAAAGCATGATAACCTCTAATACAGGTATTTATAAAACAGTCTACCCATAACTTTCAGAAACTTACCATATACCAGCCATGGAAAAAAATACAGAAGAGTTTAAGGCATCAAGAGTCCACTAACCTTAATCCATTGAACAACTGCTTAGACTTATCCAGAAGATAACAAAAATCTGTAACTGTTTTCCTCTCTCCCTGTGGGATATCATCTTCAGCACCTCCAGAGGACATGATTTCGTTAAGCGCAAATTCAGTCCTGTAAGAAAACATATGTCCATTTATCCAGTAGGTGAAAATAAAAAGAGAAACATATATTATCTGATAGCATTTTTTTCAAGATAGATACAGAATTCTTCTGATCACAAATCATCAAAATAAGGTAAGTACAAGATGGTGTGGGAAAACAATCTCATATTGTCAGTAGGAATGAAAATTGGTATATCCGTATTGGAAAGTAATTTTTATAATATTTGTTCATCCAAACAAAAATCATTTATTTGATGCCTATTATGTTCCAAGTCCTCCTCTACATGGTTAAGAATCAAAAATGTTGATCCATTCTGTAAATCCATCCTCGAAAATGATCTATAAATGTTAAACTCTTTATCTATAAAGATATTTATTTCAGTATCATAATATTTAAAAGGTTGATAACAACCTAAAAGATACATTTTTAGGTTCATAACATAATATTTTTAGGTTGATAACAACCTAAAAGAACCAAAGAGGGCAATTATCAAGTGCTTCACAGGGGCACCTGGGTGGCTCAGTAGGTTAAGTGTCCGACTCTTGGCTTCAGCTCAGGTCGTGATCTCATGGTTGTAAGATGGAGTCCCACATCGGGCTCTGTGCTCAGCACACAGTCTGCCTGAGATTCTCTCCATCCCCCTCTGCCTCTCCTCTGCTTGTGTGCTCTCTCTCTCTCAAATAAATAAAATACTTTTTAAAAAGTGCTTCACAGGGCGCCTGGGTGGCTCAGTTGGTTAAGCGACTGCCTTCGGCTCAGGTCATGATCCTGGAGTCCCGGGATCGAGTCCCACATCGGGCTCCCTGCTCAGCAGGGAGTCTGCTTCTCCCTCTAACCCTCCTCCCTCTCATGCTCTCTGTCTCTCATTCTCTCTCGCAAATAAATAAAATCTTTAAAAAAAAAAAAATTTTTTTTTAAAGTGCTTCACAGAACACTAACAACTGCACTCTACCCTATCACTAACTTAAAATTATATTTGAGGTAAGACAATAATATGCAGACATCTCAGTGTAAAAAAGATATAGAAACCACGCACATACACATGTATATATTAAAGCTGTATTTTATTAAATCCAAACTACCTTCATATGTAATCAATCATGGTAACCAGCCATTTTAAAAACAGCAAGTTGCTGGACAGTATGTATAGTATGAACCTATACTAAACAAAAGAATTCATTTGTGTTTACATAGGGACAGAAATCCCTGGAACAACGTAGAGACATCTGGTCCCAATGTAGGGTGAAAATACAGGCAGAGCAGACAAGAGCCAGACACCAGAGATGAGAGTTAAGGTGTGGTGCAGTTATTTTGGTAAATATTTTTCTCTCCAACATTTTCTCGAACAAGCAATTATGGTTACAGGGCAGGAGGATTGTCAGCAAGCCTAAAAATGTCAAGGGGCTGCAGAGTAACAAGTGGGTGCCGTGGAGCCAGCCGGCGGGGCCTTGCACAGATGGTACTGGCTGGTCCCTGCATGTTCACATGCTCCTTCTTCTTACCACTGCTTTCTGTGCTCAGTGGGCTAGGAGTTTTCAAAAGGGAAACAGACCTTGAAAAGTGCTGGCCTTGGAAGGGGTTTCACAGTGTAATGACCCTGGGTAAGTCTTCTCCCCCAACCCACATAAATTCCAAAAGAAAAAGGTAACTTAATAGTAGTAAAACCTGGCAGATTCCACCTTGATCAAATGATCAAAGTGAACTAACCGAAGTCCTGTACCTCTTGAGGGGATGCAATGAGAAGTGATGTTCTCGGGGCACCTGGGTGGCGTAGTTGGTTCAACATCAGACTCTCAATTTTGGCTCAGGTCATGATCAGGGTCATGAGACTGAGCCCCACACTGGGCTCCGCACTGTGCGTGGAGCCTGCTTATAGCCAAACTATGGAAGGAGCCCAGATGTCCATCGACAGATGAATGGATAAAGAAGATGTGGTATATATATACAATGGACTACTATGTAGCCATCAAAAAATGAAATCTTACCATCTGCAATGACATGGATGGAACTAGAGGTTATTATGCTAAGCGAAATAACTCAATCAGAGAAAGACAATTATCATATGATCTCACTGATATGTTGAATTTGAGAAACAAGGCAGAGGATCATAGGGGAAGAGAGGTAAAAATGAAACAAGAAACCAGAGAGGGAGACAAACCATAAGAGACTCTTAATCTCAGGAAACAAACTGAGGGTTGCTGGAATGGAGGGGGGTGGGAGGGATGGGGTGGCTGGGTGATGGTCACTGGGGAGGGTATGTGTTGTGGGGAGTGCTGTGTATTGTATAAGACTAATGAATCACAGACCTCTACCCCTGAGACAATATATGTTAATAATAATAAAAAGAAAAAAATATATAGAAAAAAAGGGGAAAAAAAAGAAACGTTTACAGAGGGGCACCCGGGTGGCTCAGTTGGTAAAGTGTCTGCCTTCGGCTCAGGTCATGATCCTGGGGTCCTGGCATCGAGCCCCATGTTGGGCTCCCTGCTCAGCAGGGAGTCTGCTTCTCCCTCTCCCTCTGAACTTCCTCCCCACTTGTGCTCCCTCTCTGTCTCAAATAAATAAAAATCTTTAAAAAAAAAAAAGATTTGGGGTTCCTGGTGGCTCAGCCATTAAGTGTCTGCCTTCAGCTCAGGTCATGATCCCAGCGTCCTGGGATCAAGCCCCGCATCAGGCTCCCTGCTCAGCGGGAAGCCTGCTTCTCCCTCTCCCACTCCTCCTGCTTGTGTTCCCGCTCTCCCTGTCTCTCTCTCTGTCAAATAAATAAATAAAATCTTAAAAAAAAAAAAGAAAAGATTCTCTCTCTCCTTCTATCCCTCCCTCTCTAAAAAATAAATAAAAACAACAACAAAGAAGTTATGTTCCTGCCAAAGATCGAGAGCTTGAATCTAATCATGAGGAAACAGACAAAACCAAATTGGGAGACATTCTACAAAACAATCAACGTATAATCTTCAAAAATGTCAAGAAAATGTCTTTTCCTCCAAAGAAAAGGGAAGACCGGGATGCAAAAAAGCCTGATCCTGAACTGGATCTTCCTGATGTAAAGAATGTTACTGGGACAACTGGAAAGCCTGAATGAGATCTGAGAACTAGATGGAAGTAATGTATTCACTGTTGATAAGAAAAACTGTTAAACCTTACCAGTAATCAACAAAATACAACAAAGTTAGCCCATTACAAATACACTGATTATAACAGTTGACAATGCACTGAAACCATCATATTTGCTAGGGGCAGTGTAAATTAGTTCAGACCCTGAGATTCACTGGATGTATTGGGAAATGTATTTATTCTACTAGACCGAGCAATTACACTTCTGGAAATTTATCTTAAGGAACATGTGAACTACCACTACTAAAAATTACTCATAATGCAGGGAACTGGTGAAGAACTGCTAGCCAGTCACCTAACTCTCTCACACAACTAACTATCCTCCAACCACAGTGAAATATATGCAAGCCTCTGAACAAATTCTACTTTTTTTTAAAAAGATTGATTGATTGATTGATTGATTGATTGATTGATTTGAGAGAGAGAGCAAGTGAGCTCTAGCGCATGAGCAGGGGGAGGGGCAAGGGGCAGAGGGAGAGGGAGAAAATGACTCCCGGCTGATCAGGGAGCCTGATGCAGGGCTTGATCCCAGGACCCAGACATCATGACTTGAGCCGAAATCAAGAGTCAGCCACACAACTGACTGAGGCAACCAGGCGCCCCTGAACAAATTCTACTCTTATATAACATCACAATTTTACATGTTATTCTCTTTGCCTATTTTGTTCACCTGGCAAATTTATATTCATAGTTCAAGACATTCAAATGACACCTTTGCAGTAAAACCTTCCTTGAAAATCTAATCTCTCCCTGGTACTTATATATGATCATGACAGTAGTCTTCTTCAGTGACTCCACTAGAAATCATACATACAGGGGCACCTGGGTGGCTCAGATCATGATCCTGGAGTCCCAGGATCCAGCACCACATCGGGCTCCCTGCTCAGCAGGGAGTCTACTTCTCCCTCTGCCCCTCCCCTGCTTGTGCTCTCTCTCTCTCACTTTCTCTCTCTCTGAAATAAAGAAATAAAATCTTTAAAAAAAAGAAATCATAAATATAATTATACATAGTATACATTATATTGTATATTATATGCATATTATACATGTGTATATTACATATACATATGTATATGTATATGTATATTATACATTATATATGTATATAATTAATAATTTAATTAATTGTTACATGTTGAAATAATATTTTGGTATTTTAGTTAAATAAAATATATTATTAAAATTAACTTCATCTGTTTCTTTTTACTTTTTAATGTGGCTACTAGAAAATTTAAAATCACACATGACTCAATTATATTTCTATCAAACAAATACAAACCTGTCATTATTTGTAGATGATATGAACCTTTCCATAGAAAGTTCAAAAGAACCTAGAGACAAATTATCAGAATTAATCAGTAAGTTTAGCAAAGTTGCTGGATATAAGGTGAATATAAAAGGGCCACCTGTATTTCTATATCCCAGAGAACAAATAATTATTAAGTAAAACTTAAAAAAATGCCATTTACAATTGTACCAAGTAATATCAAATAACTAAGAATAAATATAATAGATATACAAGATGAATCACAGAAAACTATAAAACCCTGAGAGCTTGAGCACTAATTTTTTTTTTTTTAAGATTTTATTTATTTATTAGACAGAGAGAGACACAGCAAGAGAGGGAACACAAGCAGGGGGAGTGGGAGAGGGAGAAGCAGGCTTCCCGCGGAGCAGGGAGCCCGATGCGGGGCTCGATCCCAGGACCCTGAGATCATGACCCGAGCTGAAGGCAGATGCTTAACAACTGAGCCACCCAGGCACCCTTGGACAAATTGATGCTATAATCTATATGGAAATGCAAAGAGCCACAGCAGCTAAAATAATCTTGAAGAAGAAGAAAATGGAAGACCTGATTCCACTGGACGTCAAGACTTTTGAAAAGCTCCAGGACT